TTGCTCATGTTGAGTTAAGGTGACATTTCCTAACTGAATATCCTCTCACCAACAAAGGAGGAAGAGGATCCGCTTAGGAAAGGTTTATTCACTGGGAACGTTTTGGAAAAGTCATTCCAAGAGATTACCAACCATAAATTCTAGTTCTCAGCATTTCATGTGACATATTTTATAGACTGCCACCTTCCCTTTGGACTGCAATGTGCCATCAAAGGTATTCTTAAGTAAAGAGCACTTACAAATGTGTAAAAGAATAACACATTTTAAACATTTGTAGAGTTATACATGCATTTGTTTCCCTCTGCACACAGCCATATAAACTGGTTCTAAGAGAAACTGACTTAGGCGCAGGGATGTAATGATTTATCATGCACGCCTGGTTGCCTTTGCTATTTCTCTGCTCCTTGACAATCTTCCCCTCATAGGACAAAGAGAGCCTGAGTTAAGTAATTAGAAATGCACAGTGAACATCTACTGCTGGACTCTAAGAAGAATACTAAGCCCAGGAGTCATTGCTCTTGGGGCTGACCGTGGAGCATCAAGATCTTTCACTTTTCGGTATGTACTTCTGAGTAATACTCCACCAGCTACCTCTCTATTTAAAGTTTTAAAATGGCGCCATATGTCATATTGTTTTACTTAGGATGAAAAGGAAAAGTCTTTCTTCTGAGACCAATCATAAAGCACTGATGATGTGTTTGTATTAGATATGTATGAGCAACAACCCCTCACCACTTAAGAAGCGTTGTTCCCTATTGCCAAAACCCCACATTCAAATAGTCATAGGTACCAAAAGTGTCCTGGTACATGCTTTATTGGTTTTCATTTTGGCAAAATAATTTAGCAAGAGAGTAAGTTCAGTGTGACTTTCATTTGGAAGTTTCGATTACCCTTTACAGATTCATAGGAGTATTAGCATTAGTGATGGGAAGAATTCTAAAAGTAAGATTTGTGACTTTGGTAGTATTTGCAAAAAACAATAAAAAAAAGGGGGGGATGTAAGGCTGTGTAAAGTCATAGGGCATTTGCCAGGTGATTCTTCCTCCTTTTAAATTGAAGTTCAATATGTGTTTGGATCTATACAATCAATACATTGAGTTTTCTCTAAGATCATTGTAATAGTTTTTTGGTTTTTTTTTAATGGAAGCTATAATGTGCCAGGCAAAACTCTCATTTGAAAACATAATGTGCTAACCTAATAGCTATGTTTTACAGAACTCTTTCCCAGTTATGCTTAGTGAGACCTCTATGAATTTACTGAAAAGTATTTGAAATTTGAAATTTGAAATTTGAAAAGTATCAAATCCTTGCAAAAAGGTAGTGGTGACAGACAACTGTAAATGGCAGACATCCATACAACAAGTACATGGTAGAATTGGACTGCTCCTGAGCAATCGCACATCACAACACCTTCATTTTGCAAATTGCCCGAGGCCCAGTGGGGTGAAATGCCAAGTCAATGTCACCTAACTTGCTGTAGCAGAGCTGCATCTTAAAGCCATATTTCAAAAATAGTGCCTTATTTAGTGTTACTGTTTATGAAGGTTTTTGAATTGGCTGGAGGAGAAGTCTTTGAAACTTGAGATGCAGAGTGAGGACTGGACACTAATCACATCATTCATGCTCCTGACTGGGTTAGGTTGCCCACGTGAAAACACAGGTTTCGTTTATGAGGGTTTAAGTTTGTATACAATATATCTGAACGTCCCTTATAGAAGACATAGAAGCTCTGAGCATGGCAAACAATTTCCGGACCCAAAATCAAGACACATGTTGTAAAGTATGTGAGTATATTTAAGGGTATAATAAGACCATATATCTGAAACCAGAACCTCCATTTTTCTATTGTTACAGTTATCTTGTAATAATTAATTAATTATCCTTGAAATAGTAAAGGCATGTAGGGAATTTCCATGCAAAACACAATGATGCTTGAACACATTTCTACTTTATCCTCAGGACAATAATCTCTTTAGCTATAGCATGTGGGAGCTGTCAGCTAGATGGTAGTAGCATGCCTCATTCATCAAGCTAACTCAAATAAGAGTCTGTGAAAGTCATGCACAGAAGGAGGAGAATGGAAGGAAGCCACAGGAAATAGGAAGAAGAGCATGTAAGAAAGCCAGAAATTCAGAGGGCAATATTCAGTTACCATCCACAGAAGAGAAGTGTAAATCTTTAAACCTTAGCTTTAGAGCTGGAATGTTTTCCACTCATCTTTGAATTACTCAGGTAAAATGCCTGGTGCTCAGCTCTGTTTCCTTAAGAACTGTAGGACAAAGAGGTAGGAATGGATGAACTTGTGAAAGAACACTCTGTGCTTCCCTAAAGGTCGTGAGCATGGAGTTCACTGTGAATTAAATGCTGGTAAGATGAAGGGGAGAATATAGGCTCCAGAGTGTGAATTGCAGTCCAGAATGTCACCTTCTTCCTTTGTGCTGATTTGAGCTCCAGAGCATAGGATGAGGACAGCTTTCTTTAAAAGAAAAAAAAAAAATTATTTTAGAGAGACAGAAAGCATGCATACATGGGGGGAGGGGCAAAGGGAGAGGGAATGAATTTCAAGCAGACTCCCCACATAGCATGGAGCCCAATGCAGGGCTTGATTTCATGACCCTGACACCATTACCTGAGCCAAAATCAAGAGTCAAATGCTTAACCAACTGAGTCACCCAGGCACCCCAGATGAGTGGTTTCTAAACTCAAAGGCATATTCCTCTTTGATGTTACATTCCAAGCCAAACAAAATTATCCAGGGTGTGATTTCCATAAAGCAAGGCCAAAAGTCCTTGACAATCATAAGGAATGGGGTTTCTCTCTTCATGGATGTTAGCAGGTCCTTTTCTTAGCTCCAGAAAGCTTCTGTGAAAATGTGGCATTTGGGGCATAGCTTCCCTCTTTTCAATCTTATCCCCCTTTCCTTTCCTTTGCAAGTTAATTTTTCCCTCTAGATAAGAGGCAAAGCAGTTTGAAGGATTTGGCTGGATTCTAATTAAAGGAAGCAGTCAAAAGCTAAAAAAAAATGGACAGAGAAGAGTCCTTAGGGAACCCCAATGGAAATACCTTTGCAGGAAATAGGAAACTCTGCAAAGAGTTTAGGGGCGTTCCTTCTTCTGTTATTTCATCTTGCTTTTCTGGACTTAGGCAAGAGAGCATATATAATGCCATTTCTGCTTCTTTCTGTCACACATAAGTGCGAGGAATGCATTTGGACCTAAACTGGAAAGTGCTCAGGATAGGAAAGGGTGGGGGACGTCATTCAACAAATGTATCTAACCAATCATCTCCAAGTCAGAAATGAAAACCAACTGATTTTCTGAGAACCCCAACATGCAAGCTAATCTTTTCAAAATTATTTTTTGGAACAAGTATGAACAGAGATTAATATGAGAAGATACAGGTTTCACTTTTTCTCTGTTTCTGTCTGTCACGGTAACTGGAGCAAAGGCAGTTAAAACCAGGCACTGGCTGCTGAGGAGCAGTTCCTCCTTGTCCCAGCGTGTCTGTCTGAAGGTAGAAGTTTGCTTGTTAAACTCAGGAACATATCTAGGGATCTAATTTAAGTGCATCAGCCTCCTAGCCTGTTGATTTGGAATTTTATACTGGTGAAGCTGAAACCATGGGAACTTTATGAAATCGTGTTTAACTCTCACAACTTGCAAGTGCCTCCTCTCTCTCACCTCCCCTTATTCATAGACATGTACATTTTGGTACTTTTACCATTATTCTTTTAATCCTTTGAGCAAGTGATTTTGTTTTCTGTCACAGTATTCTTGTTCTCCTGAAGTTGCTTTCATGTCAGCGAGATGTTACAGCTGTTTGATGGACAATATGTCAGAGAGGAGGTACCTGGCTAACTCATTCCTTACTACTCTTGGAATGTGACAAGCTTGAGTTTCATTCCATAGAGTTTACACAGCTGCACATAAGGACACTGTTTAAGACTTCAGAGTTCAATCACTCAGCAAAATCATTCAATCAACAAACATTTACTGGACATCTACTCCATTGGTAGTACAAGATATCTAGAGTTGGTGTTGGAATATATTACTAATCCACAGAGAAAGAATTTAAGCTCAAAAACTTTTTTTTTTAAAGATTTTATTTATTTATTTGAGAGAGAGAGAATGAGAGATAGAGAGCACGAGAGGGAAGAGGGTCAGAGGGAGAAGCAGACTCCCTGCTGAGCAGGGAGCCCGATGTGGGACTCGATCCCGGGACTCCAGGATCATGACCTGAGCCGAAGGCAGTCGCTTAACCAACTGAGCCACCCAGGCGCCCTAAGCTCAAAAACTTTTAATATTTATCAAATATTGTAGATAATTCTTCAGGAAGTATTCAGAGGAGATGACTATGTTATGAAAAGGTATATGTAAAATTGTGCATCTTTTGTGGAGCAAAAGACACAAAATCTAAAGAAATTTGCAGTCAAGTATCAGGAATCCCTTTGCATCCACCAAATAGAACAAATTGAACAAATACACAAAAGCATTAACAGGCTTTCTTTAGAAATATAGGGTTGATGTATTTGATGTTACAGACGTGCTTTGCATAAAAAGTAGAACAGAGATATGAGAACAGCTGCCCTATAAGAAGTTGACTCATTGGGTCAACATAGGAGCATAGCACCAATCCAAGCCACAGACTCCAGGTAAGTCTATGTCAAGAGTTGTCAAGAAGCTCTCCTGCTGCCTGTGGTCTGGGAGACACTTGTTGCCATTGTGCCGTGCAGCCTAAGGATAGTGTTCATTCTCACAGGTCATAATACCAGCTGCCTTCTGAAGCGTTACTGTGCCAGGAACTGCTCTGGACAACTTAGGTATATTTTCTCATTGAATCCTCACAACCACCTTTGGGGGTAGTTAGTCTTCACTCTGTTTCGAAGATGAAGAAATTAAGACTTAAATAGGTTTAGTAATGTTCCCAGTGTCAAACAACTAATAAGCAGTAAGGTTAGGATTCCAGTCTTGGTCTTACTCGAAATTCATGCTCAGGTCCGCCAGCGGAGGAGGTGGAGGAGGCGCCGGGCGGCCGCTTCCCGCCCCCGAGCCTGAGCCGGTGCAGAGCGGGGTAGAGCCGAGGTCGGACTCGGAGTGGAGTCAGCTGAGCGGGCGCCGAGTCCCCGCCATGGCCCGAAACACGGTGTCCTCGCGCTTCTGTCGGGTGGATATCGTTGAGTTTGACGAGAACAAATTCGTGGACGAGCAGGAGGAGGCGGTGGCAGCGGCAGGCGAGCCAGGCCCGGACCCTAGAGAGGTGGATGGCCTTCTGCGGCAAGGGGACATGCTTCGGGCATTCCACGCAGCCTTGCGGAACTCTCTCATCAACACCAAGAATCAAGGCCGTGAAGGAACGAGCCCAGGGCGTGGTGCTGAAAGTGCTCACAAACTTTAAGAGCAGTGAAATTGAGCAGGCTGTGCAGTTGCTGGACAGAAATGGCACTGACTTGCTAATGAAGTACATTTATAAAGGGTTTGAGAAGCCCACAGAAAACAGCAGTGCAGTGTTACTCCAGTGGCATGAAAAGGCATTAGCAGTAGGAGGACTAGGCTCCATTATAAGAATTCTTACAGCAAGAAAGACTGTTTAAAAAAATAAAAGGACTCATGTTACCTTGAGAAGAATTTTGGATGCACAGGCTGATGAAGAGGGATTGACAATGGACCATCTTCCTGGGAACTCCCAACTAAACTATTCCAGGACATGCATCTGCTGAAGTGTATTTTATTTTCAAGGTGGAGGGAGTACTTGTCTGTTTCCTAAATCCTTTGCAGGATCTGATAGTCTATGCCTTTGTCCACGAGTAACACAGAACTGACCTCGTAACTGTCTGCCGGAGTGGCTGGTCAGCGTTGGCCGGGTGTAGCTGTGTGCTCTGCCTATTTCACGTGGGGGAGGGACGATCTGGGCAGGTACAGATCCAAGGGCTGTGGCCGAAGGAAGAGCTTGTTTTTTTGAAGTAGTAAAACTTCGAGGGTTTATACAGACATCCCGTCTTCTGAGAGAAGACGGGCTCTCTTGGATTCATTGTAAAGTGCCTGCTATATCAATAAAGCTCTTGGCTTATTAGTAAAAAAAAAAAAAAAAAAATTCATGCTCATATCCACAACATATACTTTCATCAGCTTGTAAGAGTTTATCCTCCTTGACATCATGTTTGATTTTCTGAGCAGACACTTTAGATTTATGTATAACTAAAGTAGGTAGAAGCATTTAGAAACATGGTGCATCTTTACATGGATTTGCTGTTACTCTTTCCCTTCTTTGTGTTCCCCCATAACATATTTCATTTCTATAGAGTTATAACTTTATATGTTTTTATCACTCAACATGACTATTTTCCTGCTCTAGGGTATAGCCTGATAAATAAGTGATTACTGAATGAATATTTCCCCAAAATAATAGTTGATTCTTACTCATCATCAATATCAAAAATGTTTTTATTTCATGTTTGTCTGTAAAACCAGATCAATCATGGTTAGGTTCATTGCAATGTGTAATCTAACTTTTGGCTGATGAAAAGCTTCTAAAGGGGGCAGAGAACTACACCTCAGTTTGTGCCTGTGTTCTCAGAATCACGTTTGAGTGTTTGACAAATAGTATGTGCAATAATTATTTGTTGAATGATTTCATCCTCATCATTACCTAAAAAATAATAAACATTTATTCTGTAACAATTATGTATAAGGCACTAAGCTAAGAATGGAATGCCAGAAAACATAATACTAGTAGGCAACATTTGCCGTGTGCTGTGCATGGTGCTGAGTACTTTCTTTCCATGTTGTATTGCACTGAATCCTCCCAAAAACCTCATAGGCACTCTGATGCTTCAGTGTTGGAGATGGGGAAACTGACTCCTAAAGAAGTTAAGCAAATTCTTTTCCCCAGGTCCCACTGCTAGTAAGTGGTAGAGCCCGGATTCAAACCTAGGCCAGGTATTGTAACACCCATAGTTCTGTTTTGTTTTGTTTTTTTAATCTAGTTGTCTTTATTAAACGATTTATGAATTGGGCAGCACCCCATCTAAAGAGGTGCTCTGAGGAGTTGTGCAAAATGTCAGGTTTTTATAGGAAGGAGGGTGGGACAAGAAAGTTATAAGCAAAAGAAAAGAAAGGATTGCTCCAGGCAAGGAAACTTTCCTTAGGCAGGAAGACAGAGGGTCTTATTATGTAGATTACCACATCTTTCTTTGGGGAATGGAAAAGACCCATGTGACAGATAACCTCTTTAGTGCTTATCAGAAAATTCCTGATTGACAGGGATAAGACTTACGGTTCTGGGGGAGGTTGAAACTGCAATCAGGAATCAGGTTCAGTATTAACCCCTGGTTTAGTGACTTGGCCTGGCCCAAGTAATGCCATTTTGAGCCTGTGGTGTTTTTGTTTTTGTCTTTAACAATTACCCCCTTTTGATCTGAAACCCAACTGTTATTTTGATTTTTAGAGATTTACTTATTTATTTTAGAGAGAGAGAGAGAGAGAGAGAGAGTGGGGAGTGGGTGGGGAAGGGGGGGTAGGAGAGGGGCAAAGGGAGAGGGAGAGGGTCTCAAGTAGACTCTGCACTGAGCACAGAGCCTGCCTTAAGGCTTGATCTCACAACTCTGAGATCATGACCCTGAGATCATAACCTGAGCCAAAACCAAGAGTCAGACCCTTAATCAAATGTGCCACCCAAGCGCCCCTAAAACCCAACAACTTTAATTGGGTAAAAGTTCTCTTACCTGGCATTGAGATTTTCATTTATTTGGGAAATCACCAAAAAATGGTCCATAATAAATAAATATGTTTTCTCTTAGCTTAAAACGTAAATCCACAAGAATTCACCAAACTTTTGCTGTAGAGTCAAGCTTTGCTATTTATTGTATCTGGATCATTCCCTTGGAATCTTACACTGTTTTTCTTACACACATCACACCCATGATGCATTGTCTACAATTTCCAGTTTCAGTTTCTATTAAATAGACCCAGAATTTAAGGACATTTGAAAAACAATTTTCAGCATAAACTCTTTCCAGATTTTTATGATTTTTTTTTCTGATTCTGTTCAGTTGCTTCATAAACATTGAATCCAAGAGCATTTTTTTAAATGGCCTCTATTTATCAAATTTTCCAAAGCCCTTAACCTATTCTCACATGAAAAACCTATCTTTTTGAATGTTTATTTCATAGGTGTACTTATAAGATTCAATTATTTAATTAAAAAAGCAAAAATTTCTGTCATAAATGGATCTGGAAATAAGTACAACCAAGTCTTGATCAGCAAACAACTCCATAGGAGAAGCAGAGGTAGACAAGAGAGTAGCTAATAATCATGGACATTCAGAGTCTTGAGCCTTTGACTAATGCTTTCAGAGGCAATAGGACATTAATTAATTGAGTAGAGTTTACTTAAGCAAACTTCTATTGTTTTACTCACATGCATTTAGCAAACACTGATGTAACACTTACTATATGCCAGTCACTGTTCCTTGTGCTTTACAAATATTAATTCATTTCATTCTCAAAACTACTATCTGGGTACATACTATTATAATCCCATTTTACAGAGGAGGAAGCTGATGATCCCAGAGGTTAGCTACCTTGTTCAAGGTCATATACCTAATAAGCAGGGGAGTCAGGATTTGATCCAGGTTCATGCTCTTGACTCTGTAACCCCGGGCCTATCAAACAAAAGTCATTGTACGTCCTCTTTAAAAGCTTACAATCCAGATACAAAAGTCCGTGTATGTTCTCCATACAAACTTGCATATGGTAATTACCTAATGAGGGGTGCAGGAGTTCATGACATTTTCTCTAGTGGTGTTCACTAAAGATGTGAATGAATTTTTAGTCAGCATTTGATAAGCCTCTCTTTTATAGACTCTAGTTTTCTGTTTTCTTCTTTCCTTCCTTAAATGATAATCGTGCACAGGGGCCTTGGTTTTCTTTTGTTAAGCCACTTTCTCTTATCTCTTTAGAGCCATTTCTTGTACATGTTACTGTTCTTTATGGCTTCCAGGCCCAGCAGTGATAATGCAGAGCACGTTTGGGAGGCCAGCAGGCTGGAGGAGCACACTAGAAATTCTCCGGAATGTTGTCTTGGGGGAATTCCTCAATCCTTTTATCTCTTTCTCATGGGTTATGCATAGTAATCCCCACAACTTCCTGAGATTCTGGGTTCACGGTCATAGAGTAATTTTCATGTCCTAATCAAACCACACGCTTTAATCTGAGGAAAACATCTTTACTTTTGATGCCACATGAAATATTCGTATAGTCATTATTTATAGGCCCATAAGAAAGGGTAATGGATCTGAATTCTTAACGACTTTTGACTGGCAAGGACCTTCTCCCCTCAGAAAGTGGTTATGAGCCATCAAAACACACATGTGTAATTTGTATAAAAAAGTTCATGTTGCATTTTTAAAAACTAATTACTATTTATTTTAACTAGGTAATATTCACATTGTTTAAATATCAGAAGTACAAAATTTCTATAGAAAGTCTTCCTCCTAACTGTCCCAAGCTACCTAACCCCCATCCCCAGGAAGTACACACCATTCCCGGTTACAAGGAACATTTTTAAAATAAATATTTAAATGGTCTGAAATGCCTTAATCAGTCAGATTAATGGCTACAAATAGCTAAGATGAATATTTAATGCCACATTTGAACTAAAATATTGCTTCAAAATATCAGATTTTCTGGAATCTTCTTAGCATCCTATTAATTCTGAGAAGAGCTGATAGAGTAAGAATTCTAAAATAAGAATACAAAGGCATGGTCCAGCATTTGGACTATGAGAGATGACTTTTCTACCTGGAACACATATTATGATGCATATTTTTGTTATCATGATGAACTGAAGTTAGATGATAGTAACATTAACTGAAAGAGAATTGAACTGTATTATTTAATGCTACCTCTAAGAAATTTTGAATTTTGTTCCTTGACTCAATTATGGATGTAATCAGGGGTCTTGTAAAAGCTGACAAATATCCTTAAAAGTCTGCATGCAGATGATTTAGGATAAGAGACTAAAGTTGTTCCAAGATGGAGCAGTAATGACTGCACCCATAGATAGGACCTCCCTTTCCCTAGTTATAACACCCAGAAATGTGTAAGCACTGGCAGGTCATCTAGTGCACTCAGAAACAATCACACAGAGAAACAAAAGCCCAAGACCACAACAATCTCTGTGGCTTACAGTGATCACCACATGAGCAGGAATGGAAAGAGCCTTAGACATGCCCCAAATGAGAGTCAAGATCAAAAGTTGTTTTTCAAAGATTTTATTTATTTATTTGACAGAAAGAGATAGCAAGAGCAGGAACACAAGTAGGGGGAGTGGGAGAGGGAGAAGCAGACCTCCCGCCGAACAGGGAGCCCTACGCAGGACTTGATCCCAGGACCCTGGGATCATGACCTGACCCGAAGGCAGACGCTTAACGACTGAGCCACCCAGGTGCCCCAAAAGTTGTTTTTCAATAAGGATATACATCCTTACCTATACATTTCATTGGTGCTTTAAAATAAATAGTAATTAGTTAAATTTCTTTTGGAAGTTTAGAACCCAAAGCCTCACCTGTACTGTTTTGAGTTGCAAATTGAAAGATTGGCTAAGTTCTAAAGAAGCCAAGTTCTAAAGCTTAGATTTTTAGGGCTGTCTTTGTTTTTAATTTTTGATTCATGTTGTTATGGAGTCAGAATAAGGGTGGTGTGGAGGAGGGATGACATAAATAACAAATGGCTTCTCTAAGGGTTGTGTGTAAGTATTTTAACACTAATTTCCCAGGAAAAATATACGTGGAAGCATTTCTGCTCATATTGCTATGGTTTGTCTATTCCATGACCTTTGTTGAAACATCTGTGTAGTGGTTTTTGGGTGGCTCAGTCATTAAGCATCTGCCTTCGGCTCAGGTCATGATCCCAGAGTCTAGTCATTAAGCATCTGCCTTCGGCTCAGGTCATGATCCCAGAGTCCTGGGATCGAGTCCGCATCAGGTTCCCTGCTCAGTGGGGAGCCTGCTTCTCCCTCTGCCTGTCTCTCTGTCTCTTATGAATAAATAAATAAAATCTTTAAACAAACAAACA